TGGAGACGGCTCCAAACGGGGGATTGCGAAAAAGTCAGACACAGTCGCATACACGTTTTGGCTTCCAAAATCATGCTTGCTATTTGGCACTATTTAGCACTCAGAGTCACTCAGGTCCCGAAATCGGCAGTTGCTTGAGCTCGGTCGGTTTCCACAGCTCTCTCGAGACTCTGTCACGTTCCAAATGCGGAAAGGCTGCGTATCTGTAAAGAAATTACAATCGACAATAGATATAATGTAAATAAACACAAATAAAAATAGATAATATGTGAACTTACTAAACATATGTTATAATCAAAAAACATGTGCATGGCTAAACATTGGACTCAGCCAGATGTTAGTGGTTTGTGCTGCATTTTCCGAGTGAAACCTGTAGTGCATGCTTTGGCGGGCACGCTTGCCACACATGTCAAAAATGGGGCTGCATGCTCAGTTTCAACTTGACCCCAAGTCAAACTGCTTCCCACCCAGCACAGGACCCCGGAAGAAAACCACTTACAGGGATGAAAAGGCACCTTTGTCTCAGGCAGAGATGGACCTTTGCTTGCGCAAAGGAAACCGGCAGGACACGAGATCCGAGACGGGATCACTTGCACCAACCAACGCGCTTCTCGAAACAGTTAACAAATCTGGGAGTGGAAGAAGACAAGCACATGCAGAAAACTGGCTATCCACTGAGTGCACTGCAGATTCTGCACGGTTAAACCAAATAGGTAGGTCAAATTCGTGGGGACCCTCTGCATTACTTTGAAGCAGGGTTGCTAACCCCCGATCAGTTGACGTGAGCTAGCAACCAATAGTTGGTATCCTCCAGAATGGTGTTCCTTGGTTTTCTTTCAAGCTGGGCTGTCCTCACAAAAAGTAAATTACCTTTAGTGGCTTTAGTGGAAACGACCACTAAACCAACTAAAAAGATGTTGAAAAACTAAGGAGACAGATGGCTCAGCTGTTAAACCGAACCCAAAGATTGCCCTGAAGCCCAGGAAACGTGGCCGGGGGTACATCACCTCCTTAGGAGGCAGCGGCCATTCGGTTTCCTGAGCCGCGACTTGTCGCTTTGCGCTGGATTCAGTTGCCATTGAAGCAAGGGGGTTTACACAACCATTGGGTTCTCATAAAACCCAATGCAACCCAAGGATTTTACAAACAACAAATATCAATCTAGGAGTTTCTTCATCTAAATTTGGTCAACCTTCTTTTAATGAGGCTACCCTACAGCTTGCCCTCAACCCAGTGCTTCCAGTTGCCAGTTCTGTAGACTAATTAGGCTAAACCATCAGGTGAAACCTGAGAGGACTGCAGTTCTCTCTGGATTCACTTGAGTCTGGGCTGATCCCTTGGCAGCCAGCAAACGGCTTGCCTGGCCTGCCACATGTGCGTCATGACAAACGCGACACATGATTGCCAATTTTATTGGCGGGGTCAGTGCACAGCCAACTATGTCAAAACAACATGGGCCGCAAAACACGGCCTTCAGCGATTCAGGCCTTGCCTATGCGACGATATATGAGTGAGTGGCCAAAATCGGAACATGCTTTTGGACGCACGCATGGTCCAACATGAATCGGCCCATGCTTAGGCCCCCCCCCCCCCCACATCGGCGTCTCCCAAAATAGGGGACCTCACTCTCTAAGTGGATTGGCCAAACAAAGTCAACTTGCTGTTTGCCAATAAAATGGTTTTCTCAAAAAGTTGAAAGTCCAGGAGCTCAGGAAGTGAGGGACCTTCGGAATCGCGTAATTGCGTGGCTGCCATGGGTTTAGAATCTTCTAAGCAAAATCCAAATAGGGGTCTCCACTCCAAAACAAGCCCCCGACCTGAAAGCTACGGGTTGCATAGTACCCGTGTTTTCCTTCAAACGCCCAAACAAACTGCCAGGATCCGATTGCAACTAGAACACTTGCCCATGTCCAAACCACCAACTTTTGGAACCCCTGGACATTTAAGCCAGTTTTTGCCACTACAACTGGTTGCTAGTGAACCAACACCGCACCCTTTGCCCCTGTTTGACTACCAATCAGGAACATTGACATGGACCAGGCTAATGAGAAGGAGAAATGACGGGTGTGATACCTTTCAAGAACCCGTCCCTCCAGAAAAAAAAAAAAAAAAAAAAAAAAAACGAATCCTTGCACACTGGGGCCTGACAAGCGTTTCCTGCTGTAGGTGGTTCTCTCCCTACCTGGTGGCCCTGAAAGAAAACGAGCACCCTTTGTGAGTTGAACAGGGCCACTAGATTTGTCTTCCAGGATTCCAACCCACATGGCAACCTTACATTCACCAGCAAGTAATAAATTTTGAGGCTCAAAAAACAACCAAGAGCTTGTTGGGGCCAGGAAAATGCCGACACCCATCAGTTTACCCATCAGTCGGAAAGATCGGCTGGTTCGTTGAGTTTCAGACCATGGCGCTTTTCGGGGCCTGCGCCGAGTCGGGACGGCCGGGATTTCGGCAAGCCGGACATGCAAGGCGATCACCTCCTTGCTGGTGCGATAGGTGGGGAATGAGGGAATGAAACCAGTCCTCTTCAAGGAAACCACCAGTTAGATGGTTTAGAAGGGTCGTTCCCTCATTCTTTGCTGGGCACCAGCAAACCTCTTGGGGACATAACAATGGAAAAGGAGAACCCAAAGGTCAGATCCGATCGATTTGCAAGTTGGGAGTCTGCAGCGTTTTGATGAGGATCGGATCACTACATGGTACACTCCTTTCACCATCCCAAATTCCCGTTGCTTCCGGGTACTAGGTACTATGGTAGAAAACCGGAACCCAGAAATGGAACTAGATCAATTTGCTGCGCTGCAAAAAAAAACTTTGGAGTTGTACTTTCCTTAAGCATCTTCAGACCTCGAAAAGGCATGCCCATTTTGAGGTCCAAAGCCTTACAATGCAGATCCGGACCCCAATGCAGGGTTCCATGTCGCGCCAAACCGGCGCTGTAACCTAACCAAAGCTCACCTGTCAGTTTGGGGGTTGTCAACGTTGGGGGGGTCCCCTATAGCAAGACACGCCCAGTGCAACTCAGCATCCAAAACAGGTCCCTCTTGCCCCGTGTTCAAACGCAAAATCAAGTTAACTGAACTATAAATAAGCAATCCAGGGCCCACAACCCCCGCCCCCCCCCCCCCCCCCACTCAACTGTATATATATATATATTTATGATATAGGGCCGGAATCCCCCCCCCACCAAGTAGATGGTGGGGACCCAGTGGTCCGGCAAAGCATCCTCGGAAACTCCGGCAGCCTTACTTCTCCGGGCTACGTGGGGCCTCCTTGCATGTCCCCCTAGCGCCCAAAAGAGATGTCTTGACGTGCCCACCTCAGAAAGAAAAATTAAACAATGAGGAATCTGGGGGTCAAAATCCCATGCCATGTCCAGCAACATTTCAGGCGGGCCGCCGGCAGGGATGTAGTTTTACAGCTCCGCTGCTTCCAAACCGCCGTAAATACCCTGCTTCTCTGCACCGGCCGCTCTCCAAACATATTCGAATCCCATCAAACAACGAGAACTCCGGGGGTCAGAATCCCTCCATGCCATGTCCCACAAAAAAGCAAAAAAACAAAACACATCGGATCCCATACTCCAAACCAAAATTCCCCCGGCTCTCCGATCGACACCGCCTCGCGCCTCGCGGGCGGGTGCCTCGCCCAGCAGGGGCCGGCGCCCCAGTTTCAGCAGCTCCTCCAAGGGTGCCTGCGGTCTCAACTCGCATGGGGGGCTCAACACGGAGCCAAATCTGAGGGTCGAAACTCGCCGGAACACGGCAGGATATCATTTTTGGAGCCGGGCTAAAAGTGAATAACTGTTTTGGTGGGTTAAATGGAAACTACCACTTAGCCCCAAGAGCCCAAGGGGAACCAGCAAGTTAGGTGATGGGTCAAACAAAAATAGCCAGGAAGGCGTAGGTGTTTTGTTTCCATTTGCCATGGTTCCATTTTGGATACCATTTGTTGAGCCATAGCTACATGAGGTTTGCGGGGTGGGTAGGGTGTGGGGGTTTGGGGGCCTAGGGGTTTGGGAGTTTGCGGGGTTTGCGGGGGGTCTAAAACACTGGGCTAAACGGGGGCTCGACCATACCGAACCAAGAGGGTCCAAGTACGTCCTAAGGTTTAGAGGGGTGCATTGCAACCAAATAAGGTCGCCAACCAAACCTTTCGCCAAAGGGGTGATGGCCTCTTTGCAGTGTATTGTCAACTTTATAGGACCATACTCCCAGTTGCAATCAGCCTTTGCAGAGGTGAAAGAACAACCAGCGATCCTGCGGAGTTCAATCAAATCGGTACCAGTGATCTAGCCCAATCCTTCAGGATCCGACAGTCAGGGAACTGGAACCCAGTTGCAAGCGGTAGAATTGGAACCCGGTCCATTTTCAGGAACCAACCCTCCAACCCTCAGAGATTCATGTGTTCAGTTCGGTGACGAAGGGAACCATGTTTAAAGGACCCAGAAATGGAAGGTAGCCTTGGGCAATACAAACATGGTTGCAAACACGGGAGATCTAAAACGTCAGATCCGGTCGATTCGCTTGGAGCAAGTGGGAAAGGATCCCCCCTACCCCTCCGTGGCCCTGAGCTTCAGGAGGCAGGAAAAGGGCACAAGAACTTCACAGGGCCACGCCGGCCACGCCTGTCTATATATATATATATATATCATAAATGCATATGTATATTATATATATATATATTATGTGTGTCTTCCGAATAAAAACATCACTCCAAGGGAAACTCATGGTCTTCGATGGCCATGGCAATACTACCAACATCCCAGGGACATAGAGCCAGAGTCAGTCAGTCTGCCCTTCCCTTTCTAGCCAAATACTGTGAGAGGCGTGGACAGATGAAGCAAACGGCCCATCCGCCTTTTGGTTTCCTTGTGGGAAACTCTACACTTGCGGGTGCTATTTGTCTCTTTTTGCAACAGGGTTGCCACGGCTCCAAACCACTTAGGGTATAATTCGGAATATCTTCCTACTTGTTCTTCCTACCAGTAGTGGTTTGGAGGGGTGGAAGCCCTAGACGTTGCCTTTTGCGAGGTCTTGGCACAAGGGATGCCGCAGCCTATCACGCTGCACACAAGAGCTCTTTGGCTCCTCCAAGTCTTGCTGCTGCGGGCCCCGTAAACACTGCACAGCCCGCCCGGATTCGGAAAGGCCCATGTGAAGCGTCAGGAAGAAGGGGAAGAAGGCGTTATCCTGGTCGAATTGCATGAAGAAACCCAGAACGGGTGCCTTTGGGAATTCTTCGCTTCTCGGGCAAAGCTTGGCCATTGCAACTTCCCGAGGCAAACCCCTGGAGCCCCAAAACCCGCACCCTGACCGTCGACTCGGCCTACACTTGGACTGGTAACCCTCCCCCCACTTGGCCTCTCGGCCAGGACTATACAAACCCTCAAAACCTCGCGAACCATCTGTCCCCCCCGGCTCACGCGAGGTCTTTTCAATCCTCCCTAACATTGATACCTCAAAACAATAAGGGGGGCTGATGAAGGCTGCAAAGCACAAGCTTGGGTTGGAACATCCCAACTCCCTTGCTTGGGGAGGGGAGGAGGAGTTCGTTGGCCGCCCTGAGGTCCCAAAATCCCCGGCATTACTACAGCCCAAGTCGACGAATACCGACATATGATGCACAAACATGGTATGTACACAGAACAAACACAAACGCACACGTGCACACACGCAAACACGTACACAAACACGCAGCACAAACAAAAACACGCACACACACACACACACAACACAAAACACAAACACACACACACACACAACACAAACACAGACACACACACACAACACAAACACAAACACAGACACAGACACAGACACAGACACAGACACAGACACAGACACAGACACAGACACAGACACAGACACAGACACAGACACACACACACACACTTACCCAACACAAACACAAACACAAACACAAACACAAACACAAACACACACACACACACACCCCACACCACACCACACCACACCACACCACACCACACCACACCACACCACAACACAACACAACACAACACAACACAACACAACACAACACAACACAACACAACACAACACAACACAACACAACACAACACAACACAACACAACACACCACACCACACCACAACACAACACAACACAACACAACACAACACAACACAACACAACACAACACAACACAACACAACACAACACAACACAACACAAACAAACACAACACACACACACACAACACAAACACAAACACAAACACAAACACAAACACAAACACACACACACACACAACACAAATTCAAACACACACACACACACACACAACACAAATACACACACACACAACACACACACACAACACAAACACAAACACGAGAGCACATAAACACACACAAACACAGCACAAACACACACACACACACACACACACACACACACACACACACACACACACACACACACACACACACACACACACACACACACACACACACGCACACAACACAACACAACACAAATACAAACAAACACACAACACACACACACACCACAACACAACACAACACAACACAAACACACACACACACACACAACACAACACAACACAACACAACACAACACAACACAACACAACACAACACAACACAACACAACACAACACAAACACAAACACAAGAGCACATAAACACATGACGAAGAAGGGCTATCTGACGCCACGTCTCCACCACTTGTAGGTCGATACCCTTAAAGGTTGCAGCGCGCTGTATGAACTCTTCGACATCCTCAACGTCATCCAGGGCTGGGTCGGCGACATCGTAGTATATGGAATACCTGGGGAATTCAAGTAGCGGTTGGCCAATTGTAATCCATAATTTCGCGTCGAGAATGATCAAAGGGGAGCCCTTCGGAACTCAATGAAAGGTGAGCTCCTCGCCCACCCCTTCCAGTATGTCCGAGCTGTGCAGGGAAAAGCAATGCAGGAGGACGGTGAATGGGTAAGGACGAGCCTTTTGGGGAGTGAAGGCCCAGCTCTTGCCATTCCAAACACTTCTTCCTGGCCATGAACCTGTATTGGTTTGAGTGCTTGGTTTACGTGCTTGTCTGATTGTTTGGTTGTCTGGTGTGACTGTGTTGTGTATGCACGTGAAGTTGTGTAGTTGCGTGCTGCTTGGCTGCTTGCTTGCTTGCTTGCCTGCTTGCCTGCCTGCCTGCCTGCCTGCATGCTTGCTTGCTTGATTGCTTGCTGGCTTGAATGACTGATTGACAGATTGACGGATTGACGAACTGACAGAGTAGTCTATTCATTGATTGCTTGCTTGATTGCTTGCTTGAGTGATTGCTTGATTGCTTAAATTATTGATTGATGAGTTGGTGGGTTGCTTGGTTGCATGGTTGCATGGATGGATGGATGGATGGATGGATGGATGGATGGATGGATGGATGGATGGATGGATGGATGGATGGATGGATGAATTGGTTGGTTGGTTGGTTGGTTGATTGGTTGATGGGTTGATCGGTTGATCGGCTGATTGGTTGGTTGGTTGGTTGGTTGATTGGTTGGTTGATGGGCTGATTGGCTGATTGGTTGGTTTGTTGGCTGGCTGGTTGATTGGTTGATTGGTTGATTCAGCGACTGGCACTGACTGTCCGACCGACTGACTGACTGACCGACCGACCGACCGACTGACTGACTGACGGATTGGAGAGGATCAAACTGGATTGGGTAGCGTAGAGTAGGATTGCACGATTGATTGAACAAGGGAGGAAGCGAGCGAGCGAGTGCGTGCGTGAGTGACTCACTGATGGATTAACGCTTCCATTTGCCCATCCATTGACCCAACAGTGAAAGTGACAGCCCTGCGCAGGCTTCCGATATGTTTGGTTACCTCTTCAAGGTATACTTGAACCCCTGGCAGCTCCCAAAAGGGACACCAATTCGGGGGAAGTCGACCGCAAAGGGGTACCTCCTTAAATACCCTCTAGGACTCCAGGACCTTTAAGGTAAACAATGAAACCCGCCAGCGGCGCAAATTCAGGAAGTCATCTTCTGCCTCCGGTCCCAGCAGAAACACCTCGCTTCGGATGACACGGCGCCTTCGAAACATTCGACTGTGGAGATGTCATAAATCACAGCGCGGCTGGAGCCGTTCAAAACAGGGCACACCATGACGTAGCACCTGAAGGCAAACGAGATGCCAGGACTTTCTGGGAACCTGCCATTTCCTAAAGCCCAAAAAAAGTTGAAAACTGCCTGACAACTCGAATTGAATAGGATACTCCGGAACTGGGCGACCAACTGGTTGCAGAAAAGCCAGAGCTTGGCATGGACAAATGGATCCTGCGGTGTCATGTTGTGGAAACCTGCATCACCTAAGAAACCTGGAATGATGATTCCCTTGTAAATACCAACAAATACTGGTTTCCCATGGTTGCAATGTGGTGCAAGATTTCGCCCATCCACAGTATAGGGATGTCTCTTGCAAGATTGGACCCCCCCAAGATGGTGGGGCTTCCTTTTGGTGTAAATTTAAACCCACCAAAAAAGAAATACCCCCAAAAAGAGACAATCGTATGAGTTTGCTAGAATTTTGCGACTTCACTCATCGCCTACAGCTCTTTTGGATTTTGTGCTGGAGATGGGCTTGCCTTTAGCTGAGCCTCTTTGGTCAAAAGAGAAGTGACCTCTACGCAAAATCGAGCACAAATCCGGCTTAGTGTTAAGAGGCGAACATATAAACGCTCAGGCCTAAAAGCCATTTCTACTGCTTGCCCAGTGTCCTTGAAAACACAACAGACTTGGCCTATGTTTGTTTGTGGACGTCTGAAAGGACACCCCCCGTTTAACACCAACCTGCAAAATCTGAAGTTGGGCTTGCGCGTCGATTTTCATAGAGCCTCGCATTCCACAACTCCAGAGGCTTTTGGCAAGGCACTCTTTGGGAACCGCTTGCTCTATGATTGCATGAATCTCGAGGACTTGCACGGCTGGTCCGTTGAAAACTGGAGGGCTGGTCAATCCTAATCCATACTAATTGGGAAATGAGCACAAAGGCGACTAAATCCTTCTGCAACCCAAGGGAATATTGCCCATAAAGTCTTTAAGCATTCAAACGTGCGGCTCCAACAAAAATGGTTCCACCACCTACCATTGTGATACAAATTGATACTGGTTCAAAACCGACAGGGGCCTAACCAAAACCGGCACCCTGGTAATCTTGTCCGTTGCCTCTAGTTCCATTTAGAGACAAGCTAAACATAAACCACATGGTCAACACATTGGGTTTTTGTGGGGCAAGTAGGGATGGGCATCAACCCCTTAATGAGCTTAATACGACCAAATGATACAAACATGATTCTCCTAGTTCCTGAAATAAGTGTTGTTTTGGTGCCCCACAAACACAGTTCAATGTTAACTTCGGAATTATCCGGAGGACCATGCAAATCAGAGGTGGCTCGCTCTTAGAGGGAACTGAGTTCATTTAGGGGATTCCTCGATTCCTCGGTCCAGAGTAATCCGAAGTTGACAAAATGATGTCGGCCCGCGAAAGCAGATGGCACATCTTTGTGGGTAAGATGAAATTCCATGGGTTGGCATTGTGCCATTTAAGCCCAGGGTCTGGGGGCAACCACCCACGAGCCCTGCGTGGGACTTCACCAGGTTCTTTCACACTCGACCCGACCGGATTTTTCGTGGCCAAAATGAGAAATACACATCCAGTGGTGATAGATTCCCTTGAAAGCCCGGGCAAACAACAAAAACTCCCCTGCAGATTAGCACGGAACGCAACAAGCCACCATTGGCAGGGGGAACTCCTTTAGGATCGGACCACCTTTGGGTTACATGTTAATTTGCACTGGCCCCACCATGTTACTGTTCTCAACGTCTAAGTGGTAGGTTAAAGAAGATCAACCAACTTTAAGACTTTGAACCAACCAACCAACCAGGCTTTGTAACCACCCTGCCCCTTACCTCCAGGTTCTGTGGTCTTTTTGCCGGGCCGCCCGGTCGGAGGCCCGGCCATGCGGGTCAGGGGCCATGCAGAGGCCCCCCATGCGGGCGGCAAAGACCTTGCTAACGTGGAACACAAACCGCCCTTTTTAGAGGAACCTCCCTTTTGGGCACCTCCTTTTTGGGTTCCAGGTTCATTTGTGGGGGAGTGTCAAGGGGGTTGGAGGTATGGAGGTTATGTACCACTTGTATAAGGGGCATGTACTGTCTTGCATCTTGTATTGGTAGTATGTAAGGGTCCAAATCCAACCCTGAAGACTCCCTTGAACTTGGCTTTAATCCTTGCGTGGGCTATTATAACAGGGGGCATTCTTAAAAGTCCAAGTTGCGGATTGGAGGTTGGGCCAATGGTGTTTCATAGCATGCCCCCCTACCTCGGGGCATTTTCTTGGGAAGGAGCGGCTAGAGGGGAGTTTAAATCCAGAGTGTTTCTCTTGCTAAAGGAGAATAGCTGTGCTGAAGGGTCTTGCGCAACTGAAGCCTCTGCCTTGTTGATTCTGGGATGTTGCATGAAGTTGTCCCATGTGGGCTGCCCCATTTTGGGGGCTGAACCCCAAACTGGTCAGTTTCCCTGTGTCCCTTCAAACCCAAGCAGGGGGTTCCGCAACTATGACACACCCGTGTTTCAACTGCGAAAGGCTTAGCGAGGACCTGCCAGTGCCAATGGTCCTACCTCGAAAACTTTTATTTTTGTTTCTTGGGGCTAAGGGCATTCATCAACCCTCAGGAAACTGTTGCAAGAAGGGCTAATCTTGCTCCCTGCTTATGGACTGGAATACGGGCTCCCAGCCACCGAATGATACGATTTACTTATTTGCAGGAATATCGACCATGCCCAGAGTCTTGACCATGGCAAAAAAAACCTGGTTTGGAAGGGGCAACATGGGAAAAGCTAAATTATGTTTCGCCCCTCTGATGAATCCCTACCCGCAAGGGGGGGGGGGGGGTTCTCTGGGCGTCGCCATAGTCCGCCGTTATAAGCCATAAGCCCATAAGCCACCTGGTTTCTGCTTAAGGAACTTTCTTGTTCTACGTGCTTTAGAGGCATGGTATCAAAGCTCCCTCTATAATATAAACGAAACATACATATGCCCCCCTCGCTAGTGTGGTGTGTGTGTGTGTGGGTGTGTCATTTTGATGGTACCCTTTCCGGGGTTTCAAATGAAACCCAAGGGAAAACGGTTGGAAACAAAAGCAACAACAAAACATGCAAGACTGCATCAAAGAGGGTTCGTTGATCTGTTCTCGTTGTATGGAGCTAAACAGAAGCTGTGAACGACAACACATATATCCGTCCCCTTCGGGCTTTCGTGGTGAGCTCGTTTGGCCCCTGCGTGAGCCACCACCGAAAAACAGTCACCAACAGTTCCACAGAACGCATCGAAGACATGAAGCCGTCGCGTGCGTTCCCGAGTTTTCATTGGGGGCCCATCACAGTCGTCCCTAAATTGTAAATCACCGACTTTAAATGGAAGTTTCGCAAACATGTGGACCCCTGCTTTGCATGGTTTTAAAGGGAAAGCGCGAGGAACCCACTCATTTTTGAGTGAACCCTTATTTTGAGAAACAAGCAAACAAGAGACATGGATCCCACAAAAACGCAAGAAGCTGGAACCTTCATGGATGTAACCCGTGGCAACCCAAACCCTTCGTGAAATGGCGATGTCATTTGCCCCATCCACATCCTTCATCGAATCCTTTTGTAAGCCGAGGATCTTGCGGATGGCCGAACAGCCAAAATCGACTACGCACTTGGCTTGGTCAGAACAAGTCCAGACTTTCATGTACCACCATGACCCAGGGTTTCACTTTTTGACTTCGCCAAGATAGACTTAAACCCAGGGGTTCCCCTTTTGGCGAAAATGAACCAACCCGGAGTTCAAGTCTGCCCTAGTCAAAAAGTAGAACCCTGCCATGATCTTCCCGAACAACTTCCAGTGGCGAAGAGCTTCTGTGTGACTGCAAGTGGCCAAGAAGAAAGGACACCATGTTTTGCTCACTTACCCAAACCCTTTGAAACCTCGACTAAATTACGGAAAATCAAAAAGGTTAAAAGGTGGGTCCTGGACAACTGAGTCTGGACTTACGGAGTCCGAAGCAACATATTGAGTCTGGGATACAAGGTCACAAGGTCTATGGTGCTGTGATAATCCCAGACCCGGGCCAACCCCGCAGGGGCATTTTGGACCCAGCAAGTTGAGGGTATCTAAGAAGAATCCTTAGCTCAGATCCGGCCTGTCTGCGAGCTACTTCTCCAGTGATGAAGTTGCTCAGGTTGAAATCCCCCACCCACTCCGTGTCCTCCCGGATCAGCAAGTAATAGTCATTGCCTACCAGGAACATGCGCCGGGTAGGGGGTCCTCACTTGAAAGACGTGAAGCTTGTAAAAGTTGAAAGAAAACCCACCTCCAAGATGACATCCTCAGTTGAAAGAACACCTACCTCCAAGTCGAAAGAACATCCACCTCCACAAGAATTGAGCAAACATCATGCTGTGACAATGGACAAATGTCAACGGGTTCTTGTATTCCCACAAGCTGGACTGTGCACAACCCCAGGCCGGGGCACCAGTGACCCATTTTTTCAGTGTCAGGGGAATCTGTCAACAGAAGCTTTGTACCGAGCAAGACTTTGCCTTTCCAGAGCATGCTTCCGCCAGTTCTCCCGATCTTACATACACATACACACACACACACACACCCTTGCATGACTTCCATTTGCTGAAGTGAAGGGAACATGAAGGGACACATCAAGAGTTTCCAGCTATGTTGCAGCACCAGCCCTCCATCAATGCCAAAAGCAGTTGCATTGAGCAAAACCTCCGAGTCTTTAGCCGTCATTTCGGCACCTACGACTTGTCACCGCCTCCCGCCGGCTGGGAGGGCATGCGGGGTATTGCTTTTTCCAGTAGTGAAATGAATTCCCTTTAAAACCAACAGGGGAAAATAGAACATACTCCTTTCAGCAAATGGAAGATGCCCTCTCTCACAAGCCTGAGCTGGAAGCCTCTGACTTCAGCAACTCCCACAGCAGCTGCACCTGCGCCAGCGTCCAAATCGATCTCTTTGCACCCACTGCAAAACCATCACCCACCCACGTGGGTGGGTGTGGATGGGTGAGTGAGTGGGTGGGTTGGTGACTGGGTGGGTGGGTGTGTTGATGCTGCTTGATATTCACCAAACTCTCAAAACACGAGATCTAGTTGAACAAAGTCGTCGGTAAAGAAAGGAATCGGGTTTGGTGAAGTGAGAAACCTAAACAGAAAAGAAACAGGGTGCCACTGAACAATTGCATGATATGTGGGTGTGTGCTTGTGTGTCAGAAACAAAGCAACACAGCTATGGGTGTTGGAGGAGTTGAGGCGTCTACAGATGTAACAAGCAGAAACAAATGACACATCCCTGGAACGAGACCCCTACAAGTGCCTTCAAGAAGTCCGTTTGGGGACAAGCCCTATGTACTGTTAGGTTCCGCAAAGTTGCAGAGCAGATATGGGTTTGGAAGATATTGATTAAAGCTTATACAAAACCTGCAGGTCAGAAACAATCACATGTGTTACCTCCATTTGCCTAAGCCCCCTGGAAAAAAAGAAACATATTTCCAGTAGAGATAGACTTCCTTTAAACCCACAGGGGATAATCTTAAACAAATGAAAGTCTTAGCGGTAAGCTCCATACCTCAACAATTCATCTGACAATTCCCTGAAAAGGCATTGCATGTCCAACATGGTAGCCTCCATCCAGCTAGTTCTGCTAGCCTTCGCGCTGGTACATTTTTTAACTCAAAGGTTGACCTGCATAGATGACTTGCCAGATAATGCTGACTTGTTGGGCCTGTACTTTTAGAACGGCCCCCACACTTGGTGGTCGATAGCAGGCAGAAGGGTCCTCGTTGGTCGATCTATTTTGAAGGCGACAATTTCGGAATCTGCGTCATTCCAATTGAGAAGCTCCTTGTAATAACAGTCTCCTTTAAAGCGGGTTGGGTGTTTCTTCCAAACGGAAAGGTCTTTAAACAAATCAAAGGGCGCTTCTCAGGCTCCCTGCATTTTACATGTCCTTTAAAATTCACCCAAAGCGTGATTCTCCGGGCTGAAACTGGTGTCAACTGATGGTTGCCCTTCTAAACGGCTCCCCAAAAAAGCCCCTTCTGAAAAACGGCGGTCTACCTGAAAAAGGGGTACCCTCAGACACACCGCGCCGACCTTGCGCCACCGCAGCAGTGGCAGCACGGTGGCTTCGCGCCAGCGCATTTGGTCAGGCACCTCAGTCCATAGGGCTGAGAGGTTGACCACAGTATCCCCTTTGAACATCAAGGACAATCACGTAACATCTGTCCGAAACGAGATGTTTAAAGCTCAGATCACGAGGAAAGCTCCTGCATTCATGTCGGACATCGGAATGGGGACGAAATTAGATCAAGCAAAATGACTTGAGCCGTATGTGCCGTAGTCGAACAAGCTTTTCTTCAGCTTCGGAAATGGACCTTGAAAAGTGAATTGGTACGTAGTACGCTCCCGCTGGTGCTTTGTCATGGTTCGTCTTTTTTTCGCTGGGAAAAACACTGGTCTCTGGTCGGGACACACATGTACCATTTTTGTGCATGTTGTTTTCCTTTGACAAGACATGATCTCCAAATAGTGGAGAGATAGAAGCCTGGTGGCCAACAAAGTACCCGAACTTGTTGTGCTTCACCACTCAATTGGTCCAAGCCCAAAAGGCTTCAAGTCCAGAAACTCAGGCAGTGACAAAAACCGGTTGCACCGGCCCCGCCTCATCCAGGCGCAGGTCAGAGTCTAGCAGCGCTACAAAGACCCGCGCCGCCCCTGCAGTACAGCCGCTTTGCACCGCCGCCTGCGGGCCATTGGGCCATTGGGTGGGGGGGTTGTTACAGGGTTGGGGTTGGGAGGGGGGGGGTTGGGGGACTTCCTCCTTCCCCCCAACAAAGACCCTAACATGCATCATCGCCATGGGTCTGTTGGTCTGAAAGAGAAGGGGTAAAGGAACCCGCTGCCATTTTGGGGCTCTCCTATTTTGAGATAGACCCAGGGTTTCCCTTAGAATTATTTTACAATCACCCCAACAAGATGCCCTCAAGGCAAGATACCAAATGAGTATACATATTAATGAAATTGGGGAATTATGTCCACCAACCACTTTTGAAGTGGGTTCCCCACTTTCAAGAACTCAGAAGCCACGCTCAAAAAGGGTACCCTCCAAAAGCCAACACTTTCGAGGTGGTTCCAAGCTTCAACATTCCTTGCCCTCCCCCAGACCAGCATGGGAGCTCCCAGGCCCTGTTTGAAAGACTTGGCTTCATTTACTAAGGTCTTGTGGGAGCTTCCGGCCGTTCGTCTGAGGGAGTGTAGGGCGTGGGTTTGGCTTGGGCTTTGGGGTTGATGGGGCGGGGAGAGGGAAGGGGGAGGTTGGTGGTGGCTGGGTGGTTCCAACCAGTCCAAGGAAGGTGGATGGTTCCAACCGGGCAGAACAACAGTTCCTCCTTTCGCTTCGACTTCGCTCCGCCTGCGCTAGCTGCTCCGGGCTCAGTTCGGCACTGCTGGGCTCGGGCTCTGGGCGCAGCCACGCGGCGTTCCACACGGCTTTGCCTGGGGGGGGCTTGGGATGAGAGGAGGACCTGGGTGCTTTCATTGACACTTAGAGCTTATTTGCCATGGGTAAGATTTAAGATCGTTTGAATGGCAGGAACGTCGAAATCCAGCTTGCGTGCCCAAATCCAGCCTCTGCCGGAAGCTTCAAGAAACGAACAAAGACCAAACAAAAAGATGAAACGGTAAACATCGCCTTCATTTCCCGTTCAACTGCCTTCATTTCGCATTCATTCCATCCAAAAAGCTTTCCCATGGATCGGACGCTAGCGTCAAGTTTCGGTTGCTCTTAGAGCCAACTCTGGCACGACTTAAACCCAGGGTTCTTTGCTGGAACACATGAACCACAGGTTCAACTCCTTTTGGGGGCACCCTCTTACGTTGCCGTGCTGTTTCATTTTGGTGTGTAACCTTGCTATCAATGATAAACCATGAAACTAATCCGTAAAACCACCGTAAAGCCACCTAAATGGCCAAGAGGGGGGCTTGGGCGCTGCTCATTTGCCAAGTTGCTGCCCTTGCCTGCGGCACCCCATGCGCGAGCTGGCTGCCAGCTCAACAGGATGTGCACCTGACAACACCCGAAAGCGTGCAGTTTATGGTAAACAGCCAGTTTTGGCAAAGGACTCCATGAAAGGGCTATGGAGACTCCAGGTCGGGTTTCTCAGTCAAAAGGAAACTTCCATGCAACAAACCACCTCAGTGGTTTCAGATTGAGTACTAGGTAGTCAGATTCGGTCAGAGTTTCTTACCTCCAGGTTTACACGACTTTCTCTAGTTACCTATTAAGTAGCTGAAGTGGTAATTGAAAGCACTGCGATGGTCAAAGGATTTTCGAGTAAGCTGCCGTCAATCTATAAGCGACGGATAAGACTTCCAGGGTGTTGGTTTTGCGTGGGCTTCTATCAGTTTGGACCGTTTTGGTGGTAATATTGTCGGGTATTTTTCTAAATTCGTCGAGTTACTCGTGGTGGACATGGGATTTTCACATCTCCGTTCTCCTGCACTCTGTGGGACATTGAGTGATCCCCCTGGCGTCCCTCTCATGTCATCGACGTCCGTGACATTTCACCAAACCCTTGTTAGCCGCGAACGCTGTGAAAATTGGGCCTGGGTCAGGGAAGTTTGAATGGTGATTTTCGGTCCACCCGAAACAAAGCACAAGTCACAAAGATTTGTTCTAAGGACTCAACTAAAACTCTAGATGTATATACCTAGAAACTCTTTCGGCTGAAATTTCAGCCGGAATCTGAAATGCATCAAATTCAGCCGAAGTCACATAAATTTGCGGGAATCAGCAAAAACAGCTGGAATTAGGCCGCTGAGGCTCAAGAAGAATAATACTCATAGCCGCCGGAATGGACTCAAGTCTCCTATTCGGAAAGTGGGAAGTTTCGCCGGAATTGCGGGAAGTTTCGCTGGAATTGCGGAAAGTTGGGCGACACAAGCCTCCAAAAAAACAGCGCAATAATCATGCTTAAACTGCCAGTTGAAGAATGGCCGAAAGGCTAAAAATTGGCCGGAAATGCAAAAGACTACTATTTCGCGGCATTTTGATTTTCTAGGTATATACATATGTATCTGTACTATGTACGTATTGCCCATTAGGAATCATGTGCCGGCTACATACCAGGGGCGCTATCCCAGCAATGCCTAGTTGAGGCCTGAGTGTTGTCAGTTGCTCATGTGCCTGCATTGAACAGCCCTCAAAATACCATGGGCCAAACTGCTCGTGAATCCAGAGATCAATATCAAGTATTCTGAATATTCTCCCGATATTGTCCATGTTCTAGTGACCTAGCGCTCTGTGGGCAATATGTTGCCTACATGTGCTGCTTTTTGGCCAATGCACACACATTGCATACAATGAACCCCCCTGTTGACTGGGTCAGATCCCACAAGACTCATAATATGGTGTATGTTTGTTCTTTTGTGTCTGTGTGGTTCCTTGGTTTTTCAGGTCTGAACCAAAGAAACAACCACAACACACAACACACAAAACACGCACACACACACACACACACAGACACACACACACACACAGACACACACACACACACACACACACACACTCACACACTCACACACTCACACACTCACACACTCACACACTCACACACTCACACACTCACACACTCACACACTCACACACTCACACACTCACACGCACACGCACACGCACACGCACACGCACACGCACACGCACACGCACACGCACACGCACACGCACACGCACACGCACACGCACACGCACACGCACACGCACACGCACGCACGCACGCACACGCACGCACCGCGCACGACACGCCCGCGCGCCCACGCGCGCGCACGCGCACGCGCACGCGCCCACACACGTATAACAGACACAGACACAGACACAGACGCAGACACAGACACAGACACAGACACAGACACAGACACAGACACAGACACGGACACACACACACACACATCTTGGACATCCCTGGGGCTAAGACCTGGAACAATCACGGAGCCAATCTATAAGAAGTTGAATGCCCCTTGGAAACAGGCCGCTGGCATCTCAGGAGGTAGCATCCAAATAGTGCCCCCAACCCAAATTTGAATATGTTTGAGTGTGGTCCTTGTTGTGTCAACATAAACATCAACCGAGTTCTCAAATACCGTGCACCTAGGGGGTGAGCGAAGACGCAAGGCCGCCTCCACTATGTACTTCTTTGCCGCAGGTGCCACTACATGGAGCAAGGTGCTGGACAAGTAGAAGCCTCGGCGGGAGGCGTCCATTCCTATGGTTCGCCTTGCAAAAACACACACACACACACAACAAACATTGGCTCCTTTTGGGCAGCAAACGCGAACTTGGGATCCAACAAAAAAGGCAAAAGGGTGTCTCTTGTTTGAGAGACCCCCGTTTTGGTGGTTTTCAAGAAAACCCGAAAGGACACCCCTTTTGGGCTTCCACAAAAAGACCCACCCAAAACTTGCGCTGGTTTTAAAAGGAAATAGGTCCCCACAAACCTCGCCGTGTGGCGCTGCCGCTGGCCCACCACCAGCACCTTCAGGCGCCGGAAGCGGCTTCCGAAGCTTCGGCTCCGTGTGGGTGGACAGCGGGCGGTCCAGGTGAGCAGCTGCTCCCGGCCGAGCCTTGGGCCTCCCTCTAATTCGTCTAATTCGTGGTTTGGATTGGTGGTTTGGCGGTTCAGGGGTTTCCCATGGTTTCCCATTCACTCCGCAACCAGGGGTTCAAGTCCCCAAACCACCAATCCAAACCACCAACTGAGGGATACTTGCAAAAACTGAAAAACTAAAACCAAAACGGATCTCTCTTTGCTGGGCTGTCCGTTTTCAGATCCCCCGCTGAATGTGAATAACTTTTGGTGGCCACTTTTCCCCTAAAAGGCTAAGAAGCAAAGGAACCGGATGGCTGGGAGCCACCAAGATTGGGTTTGGAAAGGAAACCCAACGGAAACCCATTTCAATGGGGCTTCGAGCTACTTCGCAGCCCAGTTCGGACCCAGAAAGAGTTGATAGCCCTTTCGGGACCATGACTAAAAATGGAAAAAGGGGAAACTGGAAGACCGAAAGGTTAAAAGGTCGGCTTTGAGCAACTGAGTGTTGGATGGTTTGGAAAGGAAACCCACAGGACACCACTCATTTCAAAGGGGCTCCGATTCCTATTTTTGAGAACCCGACACACGTCTCCCTGTGCTATCCCTGGTACATAAACAAATGTTGCTCTTCATTCAAGCGCCACCAAGTTCAAAGATGCCAAGGGTTAAATTTGTCGACCCGATCGGCGGTGCAAGTTTGGCTCCAGGGAAAAGGATGCCCTTTTGGCTGTTTGTCACGAAAGGAACAGTGAGAAAGTGTCAAAGCGCAAACTCTTTTGGCAGCCTTCAAGCTTGGGCACTTAATGAACCCTGAGGGCCGCTTCCTCTTTCCCATATGCTTGTCCGCCCCCCAACAAGGGGCCCCCCCCAAGCGGCACTCAAACAAAACCTATTAGGCCCTATTGGGATTTGGGGAGACTCCTATTGGGGGCTTCTTCTCCACACTTCCCAAAGCTAGAAGAGAGCAAGGTTTGCTTTTTGGCCCTACCTTGGCAAAATAAACGGGCACCTCAACACTCTCTTCCTAACAAGTCCACCCATTCTGCTGGGCCCAAGTTGAACATCCATTGGCCCGAGGAAATGAGACACCCCTACATTTGACCTTCCCACAAGCACAGAACTGAAAGACACATTCGAATGCTGTTCTTTGCGTTTTGGTGACACTCAAAAGTCACATGTGATTTCCCAGCCTTGACCCATTTGCAGCTAAACATGCAGCCTTAAGAGTACGGTGGCTGTGTGGTGGAAACGCTAGTTGCTCCTGGGGCACTCTGATCCGAGCCATCAGCAACGTCTTCTACCAATGGAATGTGAGCCTCTCAAAAGTTAAGGTGACATACGTTCCTTGGACTCTGTAGCGACAGGAATCGTTGGTGCAACCGAAAGAAGCACCAAGCGCGTCTTTCGCACAAAACGTGGAATCACAGTCGCACGAACCACGACTGGCGCAACACACCGGCATCACTAGTCCGGTCTCGAGCAAGCAACCTGGCTTTAAGAGACTTGAGTACGCAAGCATCCGAGACAACAACTAGGATGGTAAAATGTATATAAACAACAGCAACAACAGAAAGCAACCATCATCACTCGCATGAGAAAACCTAGAAACACGTTCTGGGTAGTGGGCCCTTGTTTAAACCTCTTTCAACACCCCCGTGAAATTCCCTTTCCTGTACCAGGTAACAAAGGGAACCACCCCTTGAAAAAATCAAACGAAAAGGCAAAGGGTTACCTGCTATGGTGGTAACTGAAATTCAATGGCTTGCTTAAGCAGCGTCCTTTGGACCCTTGTGGATGGACACACTTCGCTAAACCCCAGTTACTTCATCCGACCCAACTGGTGCCGGATAATTAATGTCTATCCACAGTATTGAAGAGGTACTCGGGTTTGTTTGCCCCCCCGGGAACTGGCAAAACTCAGCGCCTCCATGACTGGTTGCTCTTGACCACAACCTCCTGCAGGATGCGACTGCTGAGCTTTTGTGGCTTGCGGGAAAACACCAAACAATGCTGCAGGTGTCTGGGAACACACCACAAAAACAAACAGTGCCAGTTCCTCTTCCCCGCTTTTGGATAATCATAGAAGCACCTCAGCTTTAAAATGCCCCCTGTCCACTGGGTGTCATTTCCCTTCGGACAATAACTAAGGGGACCAACTCATTCAGTATCCAAAGGGACGGATTCAGGATTGCCTTTGAACAGCTCGGTGCCATGCGCAACCCTTTCGCTGGACTCGGCATCAAAGGAAACGTCATGGGTCTCGTTCAAAAACCAGGTTGCATTGACTGCCCTTTATGCCCCGAAATACGAGCCGTGGTCCGACCTGCAACAAGTTGACAAAAGGCTGATTGGAAGGGACCAAGGACAGCGAGTTGCTCGAGATGCAAGTCGGACCCACTTTAAACTGCCCCTAGAAAATGTTGTAGCGGGTCAAAGGGAATCTCAACGGACACCCTTGCCATTCTACAACAAGGGACCCCTCTTTTGAGAACCCAAAACCCCAAAGGCCAGCGCCAAAAGGGCCCAATGCTTCGCCTCCCTTCCGCCCGAGCCTTTCCATAGGCGGCGGCGAGCAGCAAGATCCACATTCGCCATGGCCCCAGCGGGGAGACAAAGCGTTGCAAAGGCTTGGCGATCCGCGGTTCTGCGTTCCTTTTTTGGGGGGTGAAGGGGAAACCAAAGAAAACCAAAATCCACTGTTTGTGGGTTTCTCTTTGGGGTTCCTGAAATTTTAGTGGAAAGGCCATCCATTTGTTTCCAGGTCTAAGGAACCCGTTTTTTCTGACACGCAAATCTTTCCTCAACAAAGGGACGGTCCACCGTTTTGAGGGCACCCAGGTGTTGGTTTGTTTTGAAGGAAGCCAGGGGGCTTTCCATGTCAAGCCCTCGCGTGTTTGGCTTGTGGTAAGTGGTATGGGGCGTTGGAGTTGCAGTGCATGGCAGCTAACGTCGACGATAATCCTCAAATAGTCCCCCGTTTTTCGTTTCTTGAATGTCAACGCACGGGTTATTCATCCTAACCAAAAATTCCATGATAGCACTTTTTGTTCAGACTGCTGAGATCCTCGAGTTTGTTTTGTTAGGCTGCCTTATGGACGCCCCAGCCAATTAGTGGTGGTCAGTTCGACTTAGGTTGTGAACAGGAACTTCTTTGAAGCTATCTTTGCGCCCCTCAAGCCGGCCAGGCCAGGACCCACTACACACGCGACCTCACAAAAGTTCCCCATCCCGCCACAGTGGCACACACAAGTTTAGGGTTTCCTTTTGGCTAAGACAGCCCCCAATGTTGACTATGCTGATCTGTCCATCTTACATGATCAGGTGATCCCATGCCTTTCGGAGACTTCTGTTAACCGCTTTTGGGCGAACCATGGCATCTCTTGCCCGAAAGCCAAGCGGTTGAAATTTGGCCAAGCCTTCCATCTCTAAGCCGCCATACCTTTTCGGCATCCCCGGGATTCCTGAAACAAGCAGGGTTCCGGGGTATGATGAATAGGATTCTGGGAAAACTGCGTTCAAAATGCTGGGAAAGCTGACCCCAATCCCATCCCGAAAGGGTAACCACAAACTTCCCCCATTATTTGACCATTGTCAAAGTCACCCCCTGAGTGGTAGGTTAAAGGAGAACAACCCGAGTTTCTGACTTTGATAACCTAGAAACAATCAAAATAGTACCTTAACGCAAAGAGGACAAACTCCTTTGCGCAAAGACTAAACGCAGGAAGGACTTCTTTCCTGGAAACAGGGTTGGGCAAAACCAGTGGAATAATTTTGGTTTGGCCATCTGATTTGGGTGTTTTGGCTTTACCTTGGGAGCTTGAAAGGTTAAAGCACCCAGTCCAGATGTGAATGGCACAATGGGAGTAAACCAAACGGGGGGGGGGGGGTTGAGCCATCTACGTCGACGCAACTGTAAAGTTTTGGTGCAACGCTGCCACAGGAAAACAACAAGTACCTCTGTAGTGCAACCCTTCACAAAAACCTCCATACCAGCAACCCCCTAACAACCTCTATGGGATCGGGGGTATGCTCAAGAGGTATCCTAGTGATTCCGCTTCCCTGTACGAAAGCAAGGGAACCAGCAACAGCTAAACCACAAATGAACGCTTGCTAGCTATAGTGGCAAAACGCCTGGGATCTACTGGGTCAGCGATGTGGGTGTTTCCACGAATAGGGGTCCCCCTTGTTAAATAGTTTTGAAAGGAAATCAACAAACAATCCCTCATTTTTAGGGGGGTCTACCCAAAACCGTCAAATGTTTGAGTTGTTGACAGGGTAGACTTCGCGGTTTGCCTTTCACAACTGAGTTTGATCCGACCTCAAAAAATGGAACCCCGGGAACCTGTAAATAGGAATCCGACCCAAAAGTAAAGGTTTCCATTTGGTTTCGGTGTCCAAATGGCAACGGTTTCCCCATGGAAGCGGCTTCCTTGGGTTGTCCTTTTGGTTTCCCTTTGAACGATCCCAAGGCCCCCCCCCTCCCGTTTGAGCCCAAAGTCCTAGACCTGCCGACTCGATCCCCAGAACACAGGCCCCGCGCCCGCATCACCGAAGGCTCGAGCTGGGCCTCTGGATTGAATGCTCAAGGACTTCCCCGGTACAAACGATGTATACATAAATGTATGTATGTATGTATGTCTGTATGTCTGACTGTCTGTCTGTATGTCTGTCTGTCCGTCTGTCTCTCTGTATGGATGCATTCATGCATGCGTGCGTGCATGTATGTATGTAAGTATGTATGTGTGTATGTATGTATGTATGTACGTACGTACGTATGTTATGTTATGTTATGTTATATTATGACATGATATGCTATGGTATGTTATGTTATGTTATGTTATGTCATGGTGCGTGATGAAACTGTGTGTTACGTATGCCATAGTATTTTATGTTATGTTATGTTATGTATGTAGGGTGTGTAAGTAAGTTGTGTTTGTATGTTCTGTTATGCAATGCAATGTAATGTTATGTTATGTTATGTTATGTATGTTATGCATGGTATGTATGCATGTATGTATGTATGTATGCATGCATGCATGCATGCATGTATGTATGTATGAATGTATGCATGTATGTTATGTATGTTATGTATGTTATGTATGTTATGTATGGTATGTATGTTATGTATGATATGTATGTTATGTATGTTATGTATGTTATGTATGTTATGTATTATATGTATATGCATATGTATATGTATATGTATATGTATAGTTATATGTGTATGTATATGTATATGTATAATATGTATATGTATATGTATATGTATATGTATATGTATATGTATATGTATATGTATATGTATATGTATATGGTATGTATGTATGTATGTATGTATGTATGTATGTATGTATGTATGTATGTATGTATGTATGTATGTATGTATGTATGTATGTATGTATGTTACGTATATTATGCATGGTATGTATGTTATGTATGTTATGTATGTTAGGTATGCTGTGTATGTTATGTATGTTATGTATGTTATGTATGTTATGTATGCTATGTATGTTATGTATGTTATGTATGTTATATATGTCATGTATGTCATGTATGTCATGTTTGTTATGTATGTTATGTATGTTGTGGTATGTTATGTTATGTTATGATATGTTATGTTATGTATGTATGTATGTGTGTATGTATGTATGTATGTATGTCATGTATGTCATGTATGTCGTGTATGTATGTTTTGTTTGTATGTTTTGTATGTATGCACGTATGTATGTATGTTCTGTTCTGCTCTGCTCTGCTCTGCTCTGCTCTGCTCTGTTCTGTTTTGTTCTGTTCTGTTCTGGTCTGTATGTATGTATGTATGTATGTATGTATGTATGTATGTATGTATGTATGTATGTATGTGTGAGTGTGTATGTGTGAGTGTGTATGTGTCTATGTGTATGTGTTTTACACAATATATATTTATATATATATATATATATGTATGTGTTAAACATTCAGATAAACCAATATATTATATATATATATATATTAACACCATGCTTCTATAAGGATTATGCGCCCCTGTTCCCCCTTGGGGGTGCAGGTTTGAGGGTCCATCGAAGGCGATTTGAACAGCTTCGGAGCCTGCAGTTCTGGGGTAAGGAATGACCGGAAGAGGGAATGGACAAGGGACAAGGGGAAGGGGTAACCATAGGTGTCATACCGCAAACGACACCGGCTCAACACCCCCTGAGCAAAACGTTTCTTAGGACTGTTGTTCGCACGTCTATGAAATAACGCGGCTCCCGTGCCAAGAGCATGTCGTCAACTCTCACCTCTCTGCTAATAATATGGATGTGCTGCTTTTAGGGCCCACCCAAGAAGTTGTGGTTTTCCTTCTGGTGTCCCTCTAAAACCAGCAACACAAAGGCCCACGCCTTCCAAAAAATTGGGACCTGTATAGTCCGTTTCCACATTTTTAGGTGGTTCGTTCCAAAAAAAAAGAAGTCTGATATGTCATGAGTCATAAGCCCCTCTAGATTCGAAACATCTATAGTATGGGAACCGCCAAGATGGGTGAATGTGTAGATCGTGAGGATCAAGATCTATTCTCAGAAAAAATGTGCCCAAAGTTTGCCGCACAAGAGACTATCTCAAGACCTCTCCAATTACTTTCATGGCTTGAGGAGAGCATTCTAGAGCAATTCAAGAAGAACGGCCTTGTCGCAAGCTGTCTGCGCAAATTCGAGCGGCGTAACTTGTTGGCCTCTAGCAGCAACGATTTAGCTGGTGCCAAAAGGTTGCAAACCAGTTCTTTAGGCACACTTGCCAATGGTGTACAACTGGCTTTTTGACGAGTGCGCGAGTGGAGAGCGCGAGCACTCGCACACTCTTGCACAGTCCACTCGCACACTCGCACGCACTACTCGCACACTCGCACGCAGGGTATTCGGAGGGTATACGCGAGCACGTAGGATTCACGCTTCGGACAACATGATGTGATGATTGTGTAAAGAGCATTCCGCCAAGGCCTCAATTTGTGGTTGCATTGATTTTATCATATCTTCATCACTTGTGCGCTTGAGGTTGCTTCTTTTGCTGGGCTTCCCAAGCTTGGTTCTGCAGTTGGCTTGCTCGATCTGTTAGAGCTTTCAACACTTGGTCTGATAGTGTGTTTTCACATTTACAAACAGATAAACACTCATGGGGGTTGTCTCATCAAACCAGCTTGTTTGTATTAGTAACTCCAATGTATAGAACCTTGTGGAACCTCAACATGGGTCTTCCTAATTCGTGAACATTCAATTGGCTATGCAATTGCTAAAATGAGCCTCCATAGGCTCAAGCTACTGGCGTCATTGTCTTTTGTGATAGCTTTGGTCCAACAAGGATCTGCATTTGGAATTGGACGGAAGGAATGTTAAAAACACACACACACTGGTGCTTCAGCGCGTCATTGAATGGTTTGAGGCATAGTTTGTGCATTGTAGCTAAGCTAAACCCAAGTGGTTGTGAACTACAAACATCTGCCTGAGGTTGACTTGTCAGAAGACTCAAGCGCCCGGCAAACTTTGGCATATTATACCGGGTCAACCTCTGCATCTTAGAAACTGAGTGCAACCCCCTATCGTGACTCCCTGCGACAGCGACGTCTGCGCTCTTCGAAGCCAAGGTTGCCTACATTCAACCAAACTTTGGCA